TGTGATGGCATTATGGGATGTTATGGGATGTAATGGGGCACCACGGGATGTAATTGGGTTATTATGGGATGTCATTATGGGGAATTATGGGATGTTGTGAGGTATTATGGGATGTAGTGGGAGATTATGGGATGGCGTTATGGGGTATTATGGGATGTGATGAGAGGTATTATGGGATGGCGCAGGGAATTGTGGGATGTCATTATGGGGGTATTATGGGACGTAATGAGAGGTATTATGGGATGGCGCTATGGGGAATTATGGGATGGTGTCGTGGGGTATTATGGGATGTAATGGGCATTATGGGATGGCGTGGGGTATTGTGGGATGTCGTGAGGTATTATGGGATGTCATGGGGTATTCTGGGATGTAATGGGGAATTATGGGGGGTTATGGGGTATTGTGGGATGTTATTATGGGGTATTATGGGATGTCATGGGGTATTATGGGATGTAGCGAGGGGAATTATGGGATGTCATGGTGTATTATGGGATGTCATGGGGTATTGTGGGATGGCGTGGGGTATTATGGGATGTAATGAGGGGTATTATGGGATGTAGTGGGGTATTGTGGGATGTCATGGGGAATTATGGGATGGCGTGGGGTATTATGGAATGGTATGGGGTATTATGGGATGTAACGAGGGGTATTTTGGGATGTGATGGGGAATTATGGGAGGTTACGGTGTATTATGGGGTGTCATGGGGTATTATGGGATAAAATGAGGGGTTATTATGGGATGTCGTGGGAGGTATTAAGGGATGGCATGGGGTACTATGGGCTGTAATGAGGAGTATTATGAGATGTAATGGGGTATTACGGGATGTAATGGAGCGTTTTGGGATATCGTGGGGTATTATGGGATGTAATGGGGTATTTTGAGATATTATGATGGGTATTATGGGATGTAATGGAGTGTTTTGGGATATCATGGGGTATTATGGGATGTTGTAGGATTATGGGGTGGATCGGGGGAGGATCTTTGGGGAGTTATGGGGGGGCTATGGGTTATTATGGGGTTTTATGGGGGAGTTATGGGGTGGGGGACCCGCAGCCCTATAGGACAGATATGGCTCCATTCTGTGGGTCTGAGCTCCGCCCCCATCCTGCCCCCTACCCCCCCCATTCTCCCCCCCCCCAGCGTCGTACCCGGAAGTCCCGCATTGCCTCAACGTGACGCTGCTGAGCGACGCCGAGTGCCGGGCGGCGCACGGTGATGACGTCACCGACGGCGCTCTGTGCGCCGGGGGGGTGAAGGGGGAGGACTCGTGTCAGGTAACGGCACCACGTGACCAAACCACGTGACCCCACAGTGACCCCACGTGACCCCGTATCCCCACTATGGCCCCGTAACGGCCCCACGTGACCCCACAATGATCCCACGTGACCCCGTATCCCCACAACGTCCCCATATGGCCCCATAATGACCCCGTAACCCCACAGTGTCCCCGTGACCCCGTGTGCCCCCATGACCCCATACTAATCCTATATACGCTTCGTAATAATCTCACATCCCATAATAACCCCGTGATAACCTCATTATGCTTCTCTATCCCATAATAACCCCATAATAACCCCGCATCCCATAATAACCCATAAAAACCCCATCATGCTTCTACATCCCATAATAACCCCATAATAGCCTCATAATAACCCATATGACCCAATATCCCATAATAACCCCATAATAACCCCATAATAACCCAATAATTCCCCTGTGTCCCCATACGACTGCACGTCCTGTAATAACCCCATGATGACACTGTATGACCCCACATCCCATAATAACCCCACACTGACCCCATATGACCCTGCATCCCATAATAACCCCACCCTGACCTCATATGACCCCACGTCCCATAATAACCCCACACTGACCCCATATGACCCCGCGTCCCATAATAACCCCACACTGACCTCATATGACCCCGCGTCCCA